TTATTTTTTATTTTTTATGTCGAATAAATATATTTTTAAATATCCGTGATATTTATGGATATTCGAAATTACACTATGAATCAGATACAAATATAGAAATATAAATGAGAATATTTGTATCCGATCGGTGTCCACCTCTACTATAATAATATAATATACCTATCTAATATACATTTTATAACTTTATATATGACTAAAAATAAATAAATCTATATATTAGTGCAATATATATAATAAAAGACAAACTTTGATAAAAGTATAATAACTAATTGACTATAATAATATTGATACCTATATAGAAAAATCGTTATCATGATCACGTTAAAAAATTATATAAATATAATTAGTAAAAAATAAATATAAATATTTCAATATATTTATTTGCTTATCTATATTATATATTTTATATACTATTTCACTAATTTGTATGGTTTGTTACATCAATTATTTTATGTTTTGTTTATATTTTATTGGTAATTTAATTGAATCGATAATAAAACAATTAAAATAAGTATAGCTTGTTAATTCAGATCCATCAAACACTTATTTATTTCAAAATAATAAAAAACATTATTAAAAAAATTAAATTCTTAATAGAAATTTTTTATAGATTAGTTAAAATAACTCTTGCAACTAAAAAGATCGGGTATATAATACAAATAAACAATGTTGATGTATATTTTTGTTATCTTTTTAATATATGTTCGCTCCATTTGTTACTTTATCTGTTAATAGTTTTTTGTTAGTTTTTGTAATTAATAGAGTTAAATAATGAATTTCAAATATGAGATTTAATTTTGTAAGTTGTAAAGTTTTGATTTTTTTAGGTTTGTACCATTTTTATTTTATTTTTTTTTATAAAACTTATAACTATTCATTTTCCAACATATTAAGTTTTAAATATATATTAAATTTAAACTTAAAATTTATTACATCTTAAAAATATTCATTTATTTTGTATTAAAAATATAAAATCAATAATTAAATACAAAAAAAAATTAATTAATAAAAACATACATACATATACACAATCATACATATATAATTTCATCCATACATTTTTTGATTTGATTGATTTAACATAAATTTAATTTTCATTACATGTAAAAAATTATTTTATTTTTTAAAAAATAATAATAAATTATATAAGAAACGATTAAATTTATCATATTTTTCTGAACCTTATCTTGTCTAAATCCATTTTAAAATATGACTAAAAAAAATAATTGAACTATTATTTATGAAAAAATTTAATTTTAAATTCATTATAAAAAGAGAAAATTTAAAAAATATTGAATTTTGTAATTTTGATAGGAAAAACATTATACTTTTGTTTTTATCAAATAAATATTAAACTTTTGAAGTGAGTTTAAAAAAAACTAAATTTTTGAATTGATTCAAAAAAATATGCACTTTTATATGATTGTCAAAAAAATACAACTTTTTTTTTGGTCATATTTAGTTTTAAAGATATATTTATTTTTCATTTAATATGTACTAAAAATAATAAATAAATAATCAATAATAAAACAATAAATTAATAAATACATACATACATACATATATATATATACATATTTATACATACATAATTTTGTCCATACATATTTTGATTTGATTGATTTAACCTAAATTTTATTAGATGTAATTTTGTTTATTTTTTAAAAATAACAAATTATATAAAAACGATTAAATTTATCACATTTTCCTTTATAACTGTATCTTGGCTAAATCTATTTTAAAATATGACTTAAATAAAAAATACTTCAATTATTATTTACATAAAAATAAAGTTTTTATTTTAAATTCATTGAAAAATACAAAAAATAATGAACTTTACAATTTTGAAGGATAAAACATTGAACTTGTGTTTTCATCAAATAAATATTAAATTTTTTAAATGAGTTTAAAAAATAATATGATATTAAATAAATAATATATTTAATTTTTCTTACTAATATGATATTAATAATTTTTTAATAAAATCATCATTGGAAACAGGAAAACTGATATTAGTGTATATACGTTGTATAAGATCGATATTAATGAAATATTATGGATATCTTTATTGTTGATTTGTTTCCTTCGATCTCTATAAACAAAATTTAGTTCAATTATAAGGTAATACTAAAATATTATATTATTAAATATTATAGTTATCTTTTATTTTAAAATAAATAAATTTACATATTTATTATGCAAGTTTTTTTATTAGATTGAATGTTGCATTTCTTTATAGATAAAGATGTTTAGAATGATAGAACAATTCATAAAGTTATGGAAATATTCACTAACTTAATATAATAATAAATCAAAGTTATATAAAATATCAGTTAACTTAATATAATAATGATATTATTTTAATTCTATGTATATTTATATTGAGGAAATAACTTAAAAATTCACAGATTTTTTTACAAAAAAGTTCTATATAATTTTGAAATTTATAAATTTGATAGTAAATCACTATATTATCATCAACTCTACAGAGATATATAAAATAAGATAAAATAAATACGATATATAATATTAATGAGTACAATACTAACACGAATGATTTAAATGAAATATGGGAATACTCCAACTAAGAAAATAATTATATATTTATTATCTGTAAAATGGAAATACAAATTTATTATCATTTAATTTATATTTGTTATTATGTATATATATACATAAATATATATATACATAAAATAATATATACATGCATACATAGATACATACATATATATATATATATATATATATATATATATATATCCATTCCTTCCTCTTGTGGAAGTGAAATCTCGGCTGCGAGTGTCTTCGCTTCTCCTCCGCTACAGTGACAACGTGAACCACGCCAAGTCCCATCTCGAGCGATGCCTTCTCCTCCTCAAGTCTATTCCTTCTTCCTTCGATCTCAAATTCAAGACTTACAGTTTGCTCAGCCATTGCTACCATCTCCTCGCCTCCTTCGCTCCTCAGCGCAATCTTCTTCTAAAGGCTCTGGAGCTTTCTTCTTCCGCTCCTCAGGATGATGTTTCCGTCCATCTCTGGTCCTGCAATTTCAATTCTCAGCTCGCTAACGGTTTCATTATCCAAGCCGATTTCCCTTCTTCCATCTCCGCCCTCCACTCTGGCTTCCTTTCTGCTTCTCGCATTTCTTGTCCCGAGCTCCAGGTATCCTCCTCTTCTTTTTCCTGGGTCTTTCTTTGATTAAACAAATCAAAGCTGTTTTCTTGCCTTGTCCTTCATCTCTAGATGTTCTTCACCGCTTCCCTGCTTCATGTTCACATCATGCAATGGACCGACGATTACACTGTTGAAAGCGCCGTCCAACGATGCGACGAGGTCTGGCAGACCATTCCTCCCGACAGGGTATGTATGCATATTTTCGTTGTGCTTATGTGTTTGCTTGCTTGTATAGAGATCCTTCCTTATCCCTTCCACTTGTAGAGAGAAAGGTGCCCCGGTTTGCTCTTCTACAACGAGATGTTGCACGTCTTCTATCGCCTTAGGCTCTGCGATTACAAGAACGCTCAACGGCATGTCGACCGCTTAGACGAGGCCATGAATACTCATTCCCAGAAAATGCAGGAGATTCAGCGGCTCACGGATGAACTTACTTCTTTGAATCAGAGTCTCTCCCGCAATGGTTTGCCCTCGAGGGAGAGATCAGTCCTCTCTGTCAGACAATCCCAGCTTCAAGATCGTCTAAACGCTTTGTCACCGTCTTCTTCCACTAACCCTTCTCTGGAGCCTGCGTACTTTGGCAGTACACAGCGTGCATGGACCGAAAGGCTTCTGCTTTCACCATCTCCAATCGACGGCCAGTGGCTGCCTAAAACTGCCATCTACGCATTGGTCCATCTCACAGTTGTCATAACTGGACGTCCAAAGGGACTCTTTAAAGAATGCTCAAAACGAGTCGAGTCTGGAATGCAGATTATTCAAGGTTTGGCCCATGAAATTCTTCAATTCTTCTGTTTATTTTGTCTGTTTGCAATCACAAGTAAATCCGTCTGCTTGGAATTGATTTTATAATATCGACATGTCATCTGTTACTGAATGCCACTTATGTGAGGATATTTTACTTCTTAAGAATATGAGTAAAAGCTTAAGGGATCCCCTCTCGAAGCATAGCATATAACCATCCTTTGGGATGTTCCTGCAGATGAACTGGTTAAACTTGGAATTACAGATGGAGTCAGAGGTCCGCTCGATGTCCCTACTGTAGCTACTGTTGTTTTAAGCAATGATTCCTTCTATGAAGCTTGATTCTCTTCCTGTCTCTCCTTTTTGCAGAAGCTGATTTGCAACATTCGGCTATCTGGATGGCTGGTGTTTATCTAATGCTGCTGATGCAGTTCCTTGAGAACAAAGTTGCTTTGGAGCTTACAAGGTCAGAATTTGTGGAAGCAGAAGAGGTGGACCATTTGCCCTTTTAGTTTTTGCAAACCTATCTTTTTCTTCAATTCACTCAGAGATTCAATCCCGTTCAGTGTTCTACATATTTTAACTTATGATATGTTGAGGTTTTAGGGCCTGCTGAAGATTTGTTCAGAAAGTTAACTGGCTATGTGTAAAATTGATAGAGTAAAGAGCAGTGGAGCATGAAAATAGAAGAAAGCGATCTCTTTATTAAATAATCCGGGGTCATCTGTCCAGTAAATCAAAATCTTAACACTCTTGCTGCTTTGGATGTTATTTATAGGGGAAGTTTCCATCAATAAAAGTTTTCCTTCTTCATACTCGCATGGCCCTATCTGGCACCCTGGACCACACATAAAATTAACCTGTAAAAATTAATGACAGTATACAACAACTCCGAGACACCAGATAAAGAAACCATTACTTTTTATATTTTTGCCAGTTGCGAGCTTAAATTTATGGAGAGAGAAAACTGATGATCTGAAGAACAAAATTTTTTAAAAAAAAATGGAAGAGGTCGATTCATCTCCTCTCCGCGATCTAATCTCAAGTCAAATAAAGGGCCTAGGTAATGTTAGTCCAACGTAAATGGGCTTGAAATAACGGGCCTTCCCTTCAGAGTTGTTCGGCTCTTCTTCTCCTCCTTCTGCCGGAAAGAGAGAAAAAAACAAAAACAGAAATGGAGGGCGTGGCGGAGGGCCTATGGGGGCTGGCGGATTACCACCAGAAGAAGGGTGATGTTGGGAAATCCATAAAGTGCTTGGAAGCAATCTGCCAGAGCCAAGTTTCGTTCCTTCCTCTTGTGGAAGTGAAATCTCGGCTGCGAGTGTCTTCGCTTCTCCTCCGCTACAGTGACAACGTGAACCACGCCAAGTCCCATCTCGAGCGATGCCTTCTCCTCCTCAAGTCTATTCCTTCTTCCTTCGATCTCAAATTCAAGACTTACAGTTTGCTCAGCCATTGCTACCATCTCCTCGCCTCCTTCGCTCCTCAGCGCAATCTTCTTCTAAAGGCTCTGGAGCTTTCTTCTTCCGCTCCTCAGGATGATGTTTCCGTCCATCTCTGGTCCTGCAATTTCAATTCTCAGCTCGCTAACGGTTTCATTATCCAAGCCGATTTCCCTTCTTCCATCTCCGCCCTCCACTCTGGCTTCCTTTCTGCTTCTCGCATTTCTTGTCCCGAGCTCCAGGTATCCTCCTCTTCTTTTTCCTGGGTCTTTCTTTGATTAAACAAATCAAAGCTGTTTTCTTGCCTTGTCCTTCATCTCTAGATGTTCTTCACCGCTTCCCTGCTTCATGTTCACATCATGCAATGGACCGACGATTACACTGTTGAAAGCGCCGTCCAACGATGCGACGAGGTCTGGCAGACCATTCCTCCCGACAGGGTATGTATGCATATTTTCGTTGTGCTTATGTGTTTGCTTGCTTGTATAGAGATCCTTCCTTATCCCTTCCACTTGTAGAGAGAAAGGTGCCCCGGTTTGCTCTTCTACAACGAGATGTTGCACGTCTTCTATCGCCTTAGGCTCTGCGATTACAAGAACGCTCAACGGCATGTCGACCGCTTAGACGAGGCCATGAATACTCATTCCCAGAAAATGCAGGAGATTCAGCGGCTCACGGATGAACTTACTTCTTTGAATCAGAGTCTCTCCCGCAATGGTTTGCCCTCGAGGGAGAGATCAGTCCTCTCTGTCAGACAATCCCAGCTTCAAGATCGTCTAAACGCTTTGTCACCGTCTTCTTCCACTAACCCTTCTCTGGAGCCTGCGTACTTTGGCAGTACACAGCGTGCATGGACCGAAAGGCTTCTGCTTTCACCATCTCCAATCGACGGCCAGTGGCTGCCTAAAACTGCCATCTACGCATTGGTCCATCTCACAGTTGTCATAACTGGACGTCCAAAGGGACTCTTTAAAGAATGCTCAAAACGAGTCGAGTCTGGAATGCAGATTATTCAAGGTTTGGCCCATGAAATTCTTCAATTCTTCTGTTTATTTTGTCTGTTTGCAATCACAAGTAAATCCGTCTGCTTGGAATTGATTTTATAATATCGACATGTCATCTGTTACTGAATGCCACTTATGTGAGGATATTTTACTTCTTAAGAATATGAGTAAAAGCTTAAGGGATCCCCTCTCGAAGCATAGCATATAACCATCCTTTGGGATGTTCCTGCAGATGAACTGGTTAAACTTGGAATTACAGATGGAGTCAGAGGTCCGCTCGATGTCCCTACTGTAGCTACTGTTGTTTTAAGCAATGATTCCTTCTATGAAGCTTGATTCTCTTCCTGTCTCTCCTTTTTGCAGAAGCTGATTTGCAACATTCGGCTATCTGGATGGCTGGTGTTTATCTAATGCTGCTGATGCAGTTCCTTGAGAACAAAGTTGCTTTGGAGCTTACAAGGTCAGAATTTGTGGAAGCAGAAGAGGTGGACCATTTGCCCTTTTAGTTTTTGCAAACCTATCTTTTTCTTCAATTCACTCAGAGATTCAATCCCGTTCAGTGTTCTACATATTTTAACTTATGATATGTTGAGGTTTTAGGGCCTGCTGAAGATTTGTTCAGAAAGTTAACTGGCTATGTGTAAAATTGATAGAGTAAAGAGCAGTGGAGCATGAAAATAGAAGAAACCGGAGGATGGACAGTGAACACAAATCAAATCAAGAGGGCGACCACCGACAACAGTACACAACAAGGCGAGGAAGAAGAATTTACTTGGCAGAATTGCGAGAGACAATCTTCTCGATGGAACTCCGGAAGGCTTCTGATAACTCTTTAGCCTCCTATGGAATGGATTCGATTTCTTCTTCTTCCTTTTCCTCCTCCTCTTCCTCTTCCTCTTCCTCTTCGGTTAAGAACTATCCTACCTCTGAATTTATTCATTTTCGAACAAACAGTAACACAAACTATCATGTTTCTGAGGCTACAAATAAGCGATGTGGCAAGTGTCAGAGGATAGACATCGTTTTCCTTCTTCATACTCGCATGGCCCTATCTGGCACCCTGGTTCAGAACGATCCCAACTGTCAGTGCGCTCCACACCCGTAGTTATCAATGCTTCAGGCTCAATGCTTGGAATATTTTCATGCAACCTAGTCGAGCTAAATGATTTGTGCTTCGATCTGCATGGTCATATCGAGCATCTTGCGTGAGAATCATACATTATACAAGTTCACTGACCAATGCAAGTTGGAGAGGGATGGACGTAGAGAGTGTGAAAGTACGCAATCAGGCGGAGCACGGGGTTAAATAACGTCATAAAATATTTTAAATCCATTTATTTTGCATTCGATTGATTTCCTAGAGCAAGAGAAATGAGTATGTTTGTTTCTCTTCATATGAAAAACTCACCTTGTGAAGGAAACACGTCCAGATTTTCTGGACGACTTGGAACCGTCATCTGATTGCATGATCTGGCTACCGGGTGTATTAGCATCACCAAGTCTTGGCAAACTCTTATTGCTCGTGTCACATACATGAGGCTTGGGATGTTTAATTGTCTGTACGACCTCCGTGATGGAATCCAAAGCTTTCTCCTTCTGACGAGCTGATGCATCATCAGAAACGTAACCGTTAAAATAGATGGAAAATGACACATTATTTGTTTCTCTCGCAGGAAAACTTGTGAAATTCAAAAACAAATTTGAGGAAACAGAAACCATCATATCGGATCAAGGATTTGGGCAATCCATTTGGGCGAAGAGCTTTGTCATTTACGCCTTCCGTGTATTTGCTGACTTCAACCTGCATTCTGCAGACACAAACAAGACAAGAGAAAGTCAAGCAAATGTCGAGTAGGCAGATATATATAAGAAAAAGGGAGATACCCAATAAATTTGATGGTGTTGCCACGGTCATCCTTTATGGGTGTGACCGTGAGGAGATTCCAGAAGGGAGTTCCGTCCTTCTTGTAGTTCAAGAGCCTCCCGCAGTAACTTTTCCCATTCTTGACAGCGTCTCTGATTTTGGCCACTTCATTCCTGTCTGTGTCAGGTCCCTGCAGAAATCGGCTGCAATTTTGGCGCAAAGAGTGAGATTGTAATGTGTGTTTTTAGAGTAATATTTTCACTGAATTAGTTCTGTACCACAACCAGAATGCTCTTACCAGTTTCTTCCAACAATCTCCTTTGAAGAATAACCGGTCATGGTGAAAAAACCGCTGCTAGCATACATAATGGGACAGTCTGGCTTTGTAGCGTCTGACACTACAAACGTCTGCTGCAAAGTAGCCAAAGCGGCTTTGAGCTCCTGCGATACTCTTGGGAAGGCCCCTGATTCAGAGGATGTAGATTCTTCTGATGTCCTTGTCGACATGTTCTTGCTCCGTTCTCCTTCTCCTGAAGCCCTCTCCCCCATCTTGAAACTGCTTTCTCCTGAGAATCCCCATTCCGCGGTTCTTTCCACTATCTTTGCCGAATCTTGAAATGCCATCCACTTTGATGATGAAGAAGATGGTCCCCCGCCGTCAACCTTTTCTGAGGCGTTGAAGACCTCAAGGGATCTGCGTTCCGTATCGCTCAAGGAAGATATAGGGGCTCTAGGTCTATCCATTTACAGATAATGCTGTTTATTATTGGCTGCAAGAAGAGTGATTCAAGTTAAGAAAAGATGACAGCTAAGCAAGAACGTGATAGCGTTGAAGTGATCAAGAAACACTTGAAGAAGATCATACAGAATCTGACAGTTCGTTGCTCAAAGACGCTTTTTGGATAACATGGCACAATTAACGGCCCCAACTGTAGGCATACTGTCAATGAATCCACCATCCACCACGGTGATCAAATGCTAACAGATTGTTATTGAAAAGAGTGCATCCAATTAATTTAGAGAGAAGAAAAACAATTGAGGAGGAGACGATGGAAAAATTCATGAAAGATTTAGGCCTCCAGCGTCGATGTACGGCAGACCTGAATGGGCCGAGGCCCATAGTCCAAAAGACACCGGAGGATGGACAGTGAACACAAATCAAATCAAGAGGGCGACCACCGACAACAGTACACAACAAGGCGAGGAAGAAGAATTTACTTGGCAGAATTGCGAGAGACAATCTTCTCGATGGAACTCCGGAAGGCTTCTGATAACTCTTTAGCCTCCTATGGAATGGATTCGATTTCTTCTTCTTCCTTTTCCTCCTCCTCTTCCTCTTCCTCTTCCTCTTCGGTTAAGAACTATCCTACCTCTGAATTTATTCATTTTCGAACAAACAGTAACACAAACTATCATGTTTCTGAGGCTACAAATAAGCGATGTGGCAAGTGTCAGAGGATAGACATCGTTTTCCTTCTTCATACTCGCATGGCCCTATCTGGCACCCTGGACCACACATAAAATTAACCTGTAAAAATTAATGACAGTATACAACAACTCCGAGACACCAGATAAAGAAACCATTACTTTTTATATTTTTGCCAGTTGCGAGCTTAAATTTATGGAGAGAGAAAACTGATGATCTGAAGAACAAAATTTTTTAAAAAAAAATGGAAGAGGTCGATTCATCTCCTCTCCGCGATCTAATCTCAAGTCAAATAAAGGGCCTAGGTAATGTTAGTCCAACGTAAATGGGCTTGAAATAATATGTCGCCAACGATTAAACCAGCAATCTCCTCACTAACTGGCATCTCGTACTGCTTACCACGTTTTTTTTGCTCTACCAAAGTGATTGAGAAATTTGATACGTCTCCTGATTCATACCAATCCCTGGCCTTTCTAAAGATCTTTTGCAAGACAATTAAAATCGTCCATCATCTGAATAAGGTCTGTGACAATTTTCTCATCTAAATCTCCAGCACTCGATGTTCGGCTCAGTGTACTCATACGGTTCCAAACCTCATTTGCAATATCATATATATAGAGCTGTGCAAACTGGGGAGGCCTTCCTTCCACCGGTAATAGAGATCCTATTTGATGGTGATTTTGTCCGTGGATTCTAAATGTGTATGGACCGTTTCCTGATGTTACTGAATGATCGATTTTGGCACCAATTGATGTGAATGCAAGAATTGAGTTGTACACTCTAATATTCGTACGAAAACCAACATATGTTTTGTATAGCTCTTCTAGAAATTCAGGAGGAGGGGCCACCTGTGGGAGTTTGACTTTGTCTTGCATACAACATATGCTATATAGGTAATTCCCGTTGCAATCCTTTCGGCCAGTACTCTCTTTTTGCCATACCAATGCTTGACAGTATGAACTCTGAAGCAAATCAGTATTAGTAGAACATGTTTGAACAAATTTTCCTGTTTATTTTGTTAGAATTAGTATTACACACATGTGTTTGAGATAATATAAAAAATTATTTTATGACTCACTTTTTTGTCTCGATGTTGAAGCCGTCTTTGTTGATTTTGTTGTTGGTGTCGATATTGATATTGTTGAATTTTTTAAAACAATTAGGTACAATACTATTAGATAAAATATAACTGACAATATGTAATTGAGGAGTGAAATATCAAATTCGTTGGAAATAAAGAGGCTTAGAATTTTTCCTAGATAAATATTTTATGAATATATATATAATATTAGTTTAATCTGTGTTATGTAACTATTTGTATCGGTATTGATCATTTTTATAGTGGAATATGTGACTTGTACTCCGTAATATAGAATATAGTTTTTCAATTCGATTGTTTGTAATTGGTTATGGTATGTACAATGTATATGTTCATATAACAACATCGAAACGACAACCTAAATATCGTACTTTTTTTACGGTGAAACACATCCTTAGCTAATGTAATAGCACGTCTTAAGCTACGTCTCTTAGCATATTGTGCTGCAAAATTTTGTTGGATATTTAAATTTAAAGAGTCTATAAAAATTTTGACTGATAGTATGTATATATATACATAATATTTATAAATTTTAAACTTAAAATACTTTTGAAACATAATCATATATATAATAATAATAATAATAATAATAATAATAATTTTACCATTTTTCTCTATTGTGATTGTGATTGAATGTATTGACTTAATGATAGAGAGATATTTATCAACGAGTCATGAACGACGTTCAATACAATCATTCAAAGTACCTATGATTAGATGAATAAATACAATATTTAGAATATGTATCGAAGATACAATTATCAAAATAATAGTTAATTGGAATTAGAGCAAACTTGTGGTTATTCTGTTAGATTCTTGATGAAAATGCGATGGATGGTTTTTGGGTTCTGCATCCTTAGAAATCTTTAAACGATGAAAACTTGTTTATATAGACAATATATTGAAACCATACCAAAGAATTGAAATTGGTAAAATAAAAGTAATTATTATGAAAACTACTAAGAAGGAGGTGCAACATAGCTAAATAGAAGTCGTTTATAGTGATTCAACCATTAAAAGTTTCCGTGGAATAATGTAATCAAAATAAAAGAAATTAGGGATAAAATCGTATGTCATATTTAAATTTGGATATCTATATTGCTTTAACGTATATTCATATTACAATAATAATGTTTTGGAATAAATGATATAATGTATTTTATTAAAAAAAAAGAACTTTTTGAATCAATTTATAGAATAGGAGATATAAATAAGAATGTAAAGATATAGAGAGGTAAATTTTAAAATAAATTAATCGATAAAACAAACGTCAAAATTACTATTATGTCATCAACGATAAAATATAAAATGTTACATCTAATATAGATATAGATATTTTATCACAAATATAATATCGTTGGATATATACAATTATAATGTTTGCTTAATACGATATAGTGGTTTACATACACGTTTCTCTTAGTTACAATATAACATAATTTTAAGTTTTGCATTTATCACAAATATAATATCGTTGGATATATAAAATTATAATGTTTGCTTAATACGATATAGTGGTTTGCATACACGTTTCTCTTAGTTACAGTATAACATAATTTTATGTTTTGCACTTCCATTTTCAAAGTATAATTGTTGGCGATAACATGCAACCTAAAACAAATTAATTTATTTAATTTAAATATTATTTATTTTAAAAAGTCTTTGCAAAACAACATATCATATATATATATATATATATATATATATATTCAATAAGATCATAAATATATATTACCTTTTACCAACTTTACTTGGTTGAATCGTCCAATACTTTGTCTATCTGACTAATTATTCCAATAACTTTTAAATGAAAACTTTCGGCCTCATCTACTGCAAGATTGACAGTAATATTTTAATAAGAAAGTTTTGTAATAAAAGTTGATACGACGTTATACATGCGTACATATATACATAAACACATACACATATATTAAAAAAATAAAAAGATATACATATGTACCCATATACATATATATATATATATAGATAATAGTATTAATAATACAATCATTATTAATTGTTAAATAAATGTGATGTAGAATTGACAGAATTAAATAGTATACTTATCATCATTCATTTGTTTTAATAATAATAATAAAATCTGTATATTTATTTCCAAATGAAATTATATAAATATTTTTAAAATTTTTATATGAATTATTAATATTACCAAATAAACCTACAGTAAAATTCAAAATATACAGATATTGGTGATCGGATCTTGAAATTGGATACCATGTTCAACACGACAGTAATCGGCATTAACAATCGTCGATTAACATTGGTGTAGCTAATAAGTTATTGTATTTTTACTACATATGCCACGTGGAACAAATAAAAAAAGAAATAATACATATATGCATACCTACCTACATACGCATATACCGGAAAAAATAATATATATACATATATATACATGCATATATATATATATACACATAAATATATTCATATACACATAAAACTTACATAATGCATACGTACATACATCATTTACACATATACAAATATAAACATATATACACATATATACACAAGTATAAAATAAAAATATGTGTATACATACGAATACATTCATATACATAAAACATACATATATATACAAATATACATATATATACACACATCGAAATATAAAGATATCGGATGTATATCTAAATACATCCATATACAGACAAAACTTCTTTTTTTTTTGATAAAAATGTGATTGAATTACTCCCAAAAGAACCGTGTACAAAAATAGTTCGAATACATCAGTCAATATACCAAAAGTATAACAGGAACCCCATGCGCAAACGGGCAAAAGGTTTTATCTGGAGCTAGCTAATTTGATACCAATGTTGAAGGATTTCATTCATGCCTGTAACCTTGATGATATGTATATATTGATATATTTTCGTATAAGAAATAGATTATATTTTGTAAGATTTACATATTTATAAACGTTATTTTGTATAGTTTTACACCGATTTCGATGTTTTCGATATTTTGCAGGAAGAATGAAGATTCGAACGTAAACGTTGTATTTTCAAGTGAATTGGACAAAAACGACTGAGCGAGGAAGCAAATATATTCATGTGTAAATATGTAAATATACTTATAGTATATATATATATGATCTGTGTATAATGTATATACATGTATATACACACACAAGTATATGTGTTTATGTTAGTACATATATATCATATAATTATATAAGTACGTCTACATATACACGAGTATGCATATATATATAAAATATGTACACGTATATAATATGTATATATATACATATGTAAATATATATATATATATAGATATATATGCGTGTATATGTACATAAGCATATAAACATGTAATATAGTATGCATGTATATTAATATGCGTGTTATATATATATACATATATAAAATACTACTTATAATATATATGTATTAATTAATATATATGCACATATGTATATATATGTATATTATTATATATTATGTAATTATATGTATGTATATATAATTATACGTATAAAGTATGTATAGCGTGTGATGTGTGTATCTAATATATATATATACCAAATGCATTGACACATATATATGTACATATAAATATATATATATCTATCTATATAAAAATTTAGGGGTAAGGATGATAACGGGAAAAGCAACTCCTCATTTGTTTTGTTGTGATTATTGTGGCAACTAACTTTCCTCCAATTGCGCGACAACAACGAATGTATATTATTTGTATAATATATTGAGTGTATTTATATATTATCTATATAATATAATATATACATAAGTAAGTACATATATGTGTTATGTATGTATGTATATGTTACGGTAATTATATATGCATATGCATATAATTATGTTTATATATATAGTATAT